CCGTAGGAGTGGGTTTGTGTGGTTCATGATGGGCTCCCTACACCAGACTAAAATGTTCACCAGCCCAAATGGTTTTAGACTGTACCTCTCAAATTTCAGGCTCCTTTCTTCTACTCTTTTCACCCAAAGTCAGCACTTGCAAGTATTTTGGAGCCCTAAAGGTTGGACTTGAGAAGGGAAATGATGAGACACAAAGTGGACCTGTTTAGGAATCAAGGAAGTCATTCTTGGGTTTGGTGCTGCCCAGGGCCCTTACTCACATCAAAACACTGGTAACTTTATTTTCCACTTGACTCATTTTTTCATAATCCTGTGCTCAGAGAAACTTGAGCCTAAGCTATTCAAAACTGCCTTCAAAAATTGATCTATGAAGGGTTTTTCTGCTGCTTCCTAGGTATTGATTAAGGTTGAACCTGTGAAGCCAGATGTCAGCCAGGGCTCCCTGACTCTGGCACCAGGCATACACCGTCGAAAGCCCTCCTTTTTCCAAGGGCTGGACTGCCCCCTCCCAGCTCCCCACTGAGCCCCTGCTGCTCTTTCCAGAGGAGTGGCACAACCGATGGCTCATCGGCACAGCACTGTCGACTGCGAGTTGCAACCATCATTAAAGCACACAGGATCACTTTATGTCCTTTTCCCAGTAACAGCAATGAAAAGGTTGCAGTGTGACATCACACTACGTATGAATGTTTAATTTTTATGTGAAATTCTGAAAGCTGATGGTGTAGGTATGTAAGAAAATACCCTAATTCTTCATGTTTGTTTGGAAGAGGTGTTCTCTTTTTCGGGGGGAACGCAGTGATATGTCAATGGCACTGCCAACCGGACAGGGGGAGCCTGGACCTTAAGGGCCCTCAAGCGACCTCAAGCTCGTCAGTTTCCTGCCGTGGGACTTCAGCCAACGACACGGCCGTGACCTAACACAACGCCACCCTCCACCCGACGGAGCCACCCGGGCACACCGCGCCGGCCGTGCCGTCCCGTCCCGCAGCGCCCCGACACCGGGGAGCCACAGCCCACGGCTGCCCCGCCGGGGAAGAGCCGGAGGCCGGCCCGGGCGCTGTCGCCCGCCCGCCGAGGGAAAGAAGGGGGCAAGGAAAGGGAGGTCAAACCTGGCCGCCCGTTGCTCGCTGCGCTGGGTACCGTCCGCACCGTGGGCACTGCGCTGCCCCGGCTGCCCGCGCCCCTCGGCGCCCGCCCCACCATCCCTGCGGCGAGCGGCGCGGCCGCCTGAGCGACGGCCGCCACGGCCACTGAGCATCGCGGGGCCGCCCCCGGCGGGGCGCCCGGGCGGGGCCTGCGTGGCTCGGCAGTGGCGGCGGGAGCCGGCGGGGTGTGGGGGACGGAGCTCAGCTTCGGGGGGACTTGGAGGAGCCTGTCCTGGCTGCGGGACGGGCTCTGTGGCCTCTGTCCCGCCGCTGGCCTCTGGTTGCGGGTCGCCGGCTCAGCCGCGTGCTCTCGCCCCGACGGGCTGCCGCGGGGAGCGCCTGCCGGAGGGTACCGTAGCGGCTGGGGGGAGGCGCTGGACCCCCCTCCTGCACCGCACCGCCGCATGGCCTGGCCCCGGCCGGGATGAACGGCGGGACACAGGCAGCAGTCCCCGCGGAGAGGTCCCAGTGGGGGCTGCAAGGCACCGGACCCAAACCGACCTTGGCCTCCCTCTGCTGCCCGCGTCCCAGAGGATGGCCTGGCTGTTCCCCTTACCCATCCCAGTATCTTAATACTGTACCTGTTCCTCTGATATTTTGTGAATTCCTGAGGAGGAGACTAGGTGAGGAAAGCCGCATCTGCTGGTTCTGAAGTTTGTCAGACCCAGCATCAGGGCTTGCTGCATTTTGAGTTTCACCTTGTGTGAAAGGTCATTTGTCAAGTATAAACGGGAGGGCTGGAGCTGAGCAGTCACCGGGGTGATGGTGGGAGTATGATGGGATGAATGGGGCTTGCAGAGCTGCTGTGTCCCATAGGTAACCACACACTTCAGTAGTAGATGGGATGAAGCGGCAAGTGCAGTTGCGGATGGGTCACATTGACGCATGCTATTCATCCCCTCTGGCTGGAGCTGCTGTGAGTACATCTCAGGTAATCAACCATCGCAATCTCCTATAAAATGCTGTCTGAAGTATTAAAAAGTAATTGGAAAAAGCCTTGTCTGGCGTGTATAGGGGTCTTCCTCATACACACTTTGATTTGGGCTGAGATTTAGGGATTCTGTTGTGCTTAGATTATGTTCTAGGCAAAAATGTTTTACAGATTCTTCTGATGCATAAACAAACCTCACTGCCGTTCTCCCGGAGTTTATTTCTAATGTAGTGGTGCAGACTTGTTTTGTGTAAACTATTCTTTCACAGTCATCTGTGAGTCAGTGAAAGTGCATGTTTTTTGTTGGGGAAGAAAAAAGGTCTGTAATAGCTCAAATATTCCCCATCTGGTTATACACACAATTTCAGTTTTTTCCTATTCAATTCAGTACAGCCTCCCATTTTCAACTCATTTGCAGTGACCTTAAAGTATCCAAACAGCTTAACTGACAGTGTTTCATTTGCTGGTACTTTCCTAAGTGCCTCATGTATTTTTTAAACACTCGTCATTGAAAAATCATCATTTGGTTCCTAACAATCACTATACAAAATTATTTAGCCTTGGTGTTAATGAACTCTTTGGCCACATAGTTTGCTTTCATAGTAAGGCATTCCCTCTAGATACTCCCCAGAGTGCGGAGAGTGAATACAGGGTGCAGCGATCTCGGGAAAAGCGAAGGCTGCATGAATGGCATGCTCAGACCGCAAGAGGGAGAGCAAAGCCTGTTCACTAAACGAGTGTTTCTTTCAGTTTGTTTTGTGGATTGACTTTTCTCTAGCCTTAGACAATAAAAATGCTCTGCAGTCACGCAGCTCTCGATACTCTTAAGAGGCATGAAAAAAATACTCTGAAAGAAGGAATAGTGATACACAGGATTTTCTCTTGCCTGCTCTTACCTGTAAAGTATGTAGAAGTGACTAGAACCTGTGTTCATTAACTAAGGGAACAAAACCACAAGTAGAAGTAGGACACAGAACAAAATACAACTTTGTTTTGTAATTAGAATGCAAGGGGAGAAGCCATAAATCTTCCAGCAAAGACACAGAGAACTACTGTACATATAAGCGCAGTCACAGTGAAAGAGAGGCGTTTCTCCTTGCTGCTGTCACTGATTGAAGTTACACGCAAGCAGTAATAAATCCAATGTGGGGTCTTGCAAATATTTGCAGAAAATTCAAGCAACTGATACACAATGCCTTGTTGAAGCAAACTGCAAGACCAGGTATTTGTACCTTGGAATGTTCATCTGTTAGCTGGCTCACTACAGAAATAAAATGAAGTCAAAACACCATGAAATATTTGCCCCTGTAATATGGACTCTTGTCAGCTCTAGATGGCTGAAGTTGTGCAGGTTGTATGCTTTTTGCTGTCCATAACTGACTTTAATGCAGGAAAATAAGTTTTAAGTTTCCGATCATCTTATTAAAATGATAACATCATTTGTTTTTAAGTATGAACATTATATTGAAAAACATCTACTTTAGAGCATGGAAGCTAATCCAGAAAATGCCACTTCCTTGATTTCAGAGTGGTTATCAAACCTGCATCTAGAACATAAGAATTTTGGCTCTCCTACTATGTAGAATATGTTTCTGACAATACTGAGTCAGAACCTTACCCTTATGTTGACAAAGAGAGCCTTTTTGGGTCCTCTCTCACATAGATAAGTCTTGTAACCATATAAATTTAGGTATTTCAGACTGGTAGGTATGTTTACTTTAGAAAATACATTCCAGAAAACATCTCATGATCCTAAAATCTTAGATTATACAATGTCATCTGTGAGTTCATTTCTCTGAACTTACAGAAAGCAAGTTAGTTTCAAAGAAATGAACTTACAGATGTGTAAGTTGTGTAAGATGACTGGGTTCTTTGAAAGGATAACATACTTACTTGAGACTTGCAGTAAAGATTCCCATGATGTTGTTTGTACTAGTTGCAATTACGAAACTGTGATATAAATAAATAGATCATCTTCAGGTGCTGCTCAAATTAATTAAAAATTGTCTTGATCTTTCATGATTAAAACCAGTTTTAATGGAGGATGGGGAGGGAGAAAGATCATTCCTGTTCAATATTATCACCCTAACATGTCTTAAAATGTTGCTCTTTCAAGGCTGTGGCTTGTCTTTTGGTGACAGAAGAAAATGGCATCTTATCTAAACAGCCTCTAGTATTTGTGCTTCGGTACATTTGAATGAAGAAATCTACGGTTACTTCGGTTACTCATAAAGGCTTTTTCTGCCAAAGCATGGCTCAAAAGAAGGTCCGTGGCTTCTATTTACATGCACAACCTCTTTTTAATGGTTTGGCGCCACTGAGTGGTAAAATTCTAGATTGCTGTAAATAATCCGTTTCTGAGAATTCTCAAATTAGGAGTTCATCATCTCCCTCTGAAAGAAACTTCAAAATACTCTACTTTCTGGTTATAGGTATAGCTCAAGAAGACTAGAATTTACAGCTTGGAGTTTTCTACAGCGTGGATTAGAATATTTCCGCTGAGATTTTCACTGGTGGTTGTTGATTTGTCAGACCCGTAAAGTCTGTGAACATAAATCCACTGCCTTGAAGAACAGTCCTGATTAGTTGCAGAAACATCCAGGACATCACAGTGAAAATGGTCAGAGCAGGGGTCATCTAGTGTGGGATCTGATCGCTGAGCTGTTGCCCTCAGCTAGCGCCCTGAGAAGGCAAGTGTCATTCCCGCAGAACACTGTCCCAGTCTCCAGTTCCTCTGTGGTTTGGGGAACTTCCAAACCAGAAGTTCTGTATTTCGAAACATCTGCTGCCTGGCTTGCTTGGTTGGTTGGGTTGTTTGGGGTTTTTTTGTTGCGTCCATGAGTTAGTCCAGCTGCTTTTGAAGAGGGGCGGTGACGGGCGGAGCCGGGAATAAGCACGGCCCAGAGGCAGGCCTTGGTTGGATGCGGGTGGCTCCGGCTGTGTCCGGACGGCACGTGGTGCGGGCAGTTCGGTATGCCCGGGGAAGAATCCGCCCGTTAGGGTAGGTAAGGGGTTTTTCTGTATTTCCCTTTCCCTCTGCTGCAGCTCTCCTCCGGCCCGCAGCCTCCATGGGTGCCGGCGTCGGGCTTACACTTGCGCTGCTGCCCGCCGTCAAGCCTCCGGAGTGGGAGTGGGAGGGAGAGGCCCCGAGGTGCTGCGTGGCGCGGGTAAACTCGGGCTGTCTGGGGCAATCGTGGGGAGGGTGAAGCACTCGAACGCCAGTGCGGCTCTGCTTCACCTTTCTCTGGGGTGTCGTGAATCGGGCTGTTGTCTTCTTGAGGCCGCTGGAAGCTGGTTACCTGCGCTGGGCACAGATCCCGCTGCCTGGCTGGGTACTGGCACGCTGGTGGATGCCGTTGTGTGGTGCCCGCTGCCTGGGGGAAAGGTGGAGGCCATCTGGTCTTGGAAGTAAACAAAATGAGTTGTGCTTTCTGAGCACTAGCAGCCGGGGCTAGATAATAGATGTGGGGATCTTGTCAGTGTGTGTGTATAACTGTGTGGGTGGAGGGTACAAAGAAGCACCAGATGTGGTGTGAGGGTGCCCAGTTGTGGACCCAGGTTGCCCAGAGGCACCATGGAGTCTCCAGCCTTGGAAACTCAGAAGCCACCTGGACATGGTCCTGGGTAATGGGTGCCAGCTGGCCCTGCTTGAGTAGGGGGTGGGACCGAATAACTGCCAGTGGTCACTTCCAGACTCAGCTGCTCTGTGATAGTGAGCTCCTAAATCAGTGAAACTATAGTGCACATGAAATTGACTGTACCATAACGAAGAGTAACTTGCTATTTGTAACACCCTTGATAGAAAACACAGAACTAGTTGATACATTCTAAAGAAACACAACTGCTTTGCTAACTTTACATTAATACAATTTGAATTAATTTTGAACAGTAAAACAGAGTAAGAGAAGTTTTGGGGTGTTATTCCCATACTTCTGCATATTTCCAAACTGTAATCCAGGGGCATGCCACAGGCTGTGTAACAGGTACAGTGGGGATTCCAGTGAGACAGTTTGTCATTCATCCAGCAAATCCTGATTTTTATGACTTGCATGTTTTGCTGTGAAGTCTGGGTCAATCTTGGATGAAATGCTTGAAATAGTTGATAAAACTGAGGAGAGCTATTATCTTGAAAAAGAATATTGTACAGATAGTGCAATAAAGATCACTTCAGGACAGGACTTATGTAGCTGATCTAAAAATACTGTTCCAGTGCTCTTTTAATTTTGTGGTTGGGGGATTTTTTGTTGTTTGATGACAGAAGCTTCCAGTGATCTTTACTTTTAAAAAACCTGAACAAAACAAAACCAACCCAAACCCAAGTCATACAAGATTAATGTACTACAGCTACTAAAAGGTGTTTCTTGCCTTCTAGTCAGAATTGGTAAGGCCACACCTGGAGTGCTGCATCCAGTTCTGAGCTCCTCAGCACAAGAGAGATGTGGGCATACTGGAGAGTCCAATGGAGTGCCACTAAGATTGTGAAGGGCCTGGAACATCCCTCCTAGGAGGACAGGCTGGGAGAACTGGGATTCTTCAGCCTGGTGAAGAGAATGCTCAGGGAATCTTATCAATGTATAAAAAATATCTGAAGAAAGGGGGTAAAGAAGACAGAACCAGGCTTTTTTTGCCATGTTGAACAGTGATATGAGGGACAGCATGAACAAAAACTGAAGCACAAGAAGTTCCTTCTGAAGATCAAGAAGCACTTTCTTAATGTGAGGGTGACAGCATGGGCATAGTGCTGTTACCCGGGGAAGTTGGAAAGTCTCTGTCCATGGAGGTACTCAAAAGCTGTCTTGTCATGGTCCTGGGCAGCCTGCCTTAGGTGACCCTACTTGAGCAGTGGGGTTGGACCAAGTGACCTCCGGAGGTCACTTCCAACTTCAGCCATGCTGTGACTTTGTGAAACTGGTCATACTGAAACTGTCATACTGAAGATGAGGCTTACTGTTAAATTACAATGAAACTTGTATTTTGTTTTTTTTTAATATTGGAAAAAAAAAGTCGTTAAGGTGTTGTAAGGAATTGTGGCACTATTAGGTTTATTGGAACAGGAAAGAAACCTTTAAGAACCAGTGATTTCTTGTAATAGATTATGTCTTATTTATATTGGTTATCATAATTCCTTTCTAAAAGGGGGCTCTTCTTCCAAATGTAGGGTTTTCAAAGGCTGAAAAGCAAAACCTGGCATCTCTACTTCTGCACTGCGCACAGCTGAGCAATGGCATCCAGCACATCCAGTGTATTGAATAAGTAAGACTTCAGTGTTGTTGGTGTAGGTTTTGGTAATTGAGGTTTGTTTATGGAGTTAAATTCACCACTACATTGATAACTGTTCATTAGGTCTGGTGTGAAGTGTATGTGTGATAGAACTTTCTTGTCCTATTTAACTTTGAAATAAATTTATGCCACAGAAGTCAGTACCTGATGTACAGGAAGAAAACAGGCAAGTAAATTCAATGTAAGCTGTTTCTGGTTTTATTTCACTCATGCAAGATAATCTGGTATGGTTTGGCTATAACTTTGATAGCCATACAGTGATGAAAGATGGGAATGTAATTTTAGAATTATACATATTTTAAATTAGAAAAAGCTGCTGATGAGTTTTTTTTGTGGCAGTATGATGATATAAAATAAAAAGTCAAGGAAGGAAAGTAAAAGTACCAGTAAGGCACTGGTATGTGCTAGAGCTACTACTTTTAAGGGAGGCCTTTGAGAGTTGTGGTTTTGCTATCCGAATTGTGACTGAACACTGTAATTAATACAACTTATTAAAATTCAGGTAGAGTAATACTCTTCCATTTTCCATGAGTGTTTGATTCAGTATTGATATTCTGTTCAGCCTGTCACAGCAGTCATTATTTAATATCTTGACATTTTCCAGCATTGTGTAACATGACGCCTCTTCACTGTGGCACCAGAGGAGAAGGATACTTCATGGAGTGTTTTGTACATTAAAAGCTTATGTATTGTCTGTCTTCATGCTAGAAGAAAGTCGAATCATAGAAATAAGCTTTATGCATGGAGGAGCTGCTTGAAAAATGAGAAACGAGCAGCACTGTGTTCTGTTGGTCTTTTTGGAAGGTTTCTGGAAAAGGTCAGCTCTGCTCAGGCAGAATCAAATGAATGAAACTTCGTCACAGGAACCTGCAGAAACTGTAGCAGAATTTGTCTTAAGTTTTTAAACTTCATTTTAAAACGCTGCCCTTGTGTCTGCTGCTTGTTTTTCTGTAGTTACATATCTGGTCAAATTGAACATTAAACAAGTTTTCACATTAATTCTGTCTGAAGTTGGCAGAATAGAGTTTTCTGGAGATAATGAAGAATGCTTTTTTTTTAAATTATGGAAATTGTATTGCTCTGTCTCAGGTGATGCACAACTTGCTGATGGCCATTAAAGTTTCAATAGCGCTTGTACAGAAATTACACGAAAGTATCCAAGGAAGTCTGTGGAAACACCATGAGTCTTTTGTATGGCAAAGTATGTGTAGTTTACTGAAAAGCTCCACAAACTTCCTAATGGATGGGAAGTTTAGTAATATTCAAACCCATGTATTTTTATTCAGGTCAGTTTTCTTGTCTTTGTAGTAAACACAACCTGTATGTATAAAAACTTAGTTTAGCTTTAGTGGAAATTGAACTGCTGAGATTAATAGGAGTGAGAGCAGTAGTGGGTCTTTTGGCAAGCTATGATTTGTAGATCATGATTTTGTAGTTACAGTTTAACTGTCCAACAAAAAAAAAAACAAACAACTTAAATGCTGTTACTGATAAATTAGAAACTAACAGAAATACTTCTGAGACTCACCGAATGTCTGTACCTACCAAAATCTTATCTATCTGTATGAATTATGCTGTCAGAGCTGTTTGTTGGTGCACTGTAATAAATTGTGTTCACTTCTTATGCAGATTTTTTTTAACAGTAGAATTTAATGTAAGTGTCAGTAGGCCACAGTGTCTTACTGGGCAGTTCTGTATTCCCTATCTGATAAAGGGTATTAATAGTTTCCTATTACACTGGAGTATAAATTCATGAATACTTGCTATCCAGGTGGACACTACAGATTTGTGATTATACAAGTACAAGCAGTCTAGGAAAATTCAATACCATCTTTTTAATTTTGATATATAGTTCTAGTACACAGTGTTTGCTGCACTCTAATGTAAAATAACTTTTTCTTCCATGTAGAAACTCCTGCAAACTGTTCAGACTACCGCTGGACTGGCCATTATTCTGTTTACTGAATCTATGTGTGAGCCAGTTGAAGCCAGTTTACCTTGCTTGATAAATGTATTTCTTTGCTAAAGACTCTGCAATGTCATCGTGTCATTGATCAGTGCTACCCGTGTGGTTCAGAGGCTTTGCTGATGCTGACAGCAGGACTGGCCAATGTCTGTATCAGTCTTTGCTGCAGTACAGATTTTTTATTCTCTTCTTGGTGTGTGGAATAATAGGAGTAGGGTTTTGAATTTGAGAAAAACAATTTACAAGAAATCTCAGATCTTCTGAGATTCTCAGTTATGCACAAAATGGCTTTTTCTTGTGCTGAGATATGGTAATGGGTGGGGTTTTTTTGCTATTACAGGTCAGTGACTTGCTTCTTGGGTCAGTGAAACACGTGTGTGTGCCAGTGTGGTTTGTGAGTAGCTGTAGGACTTTGTGTATGGAGGAACTCCCTCCCTCGGTTCTTCTTTCTTTCCCATGGAGCACTGGCTATGCTAGAATGGAAGAACAGCAGCATGGATGAAAATGGAGTGAAACTATTATTAGATATCACATCAGTCATCCTTGAGTTCAGAGTTGGCGTCTCCTTTGATTTGTATTGTTTCATGTTTGGGAGGAGGGGGTTGATTTTTTTTTTTTTTTTCTACTTATATTTTTGCACAGTTCATATGGTCCTGGTGGAATATCTTTTTGATGTTTTCAGCCTAATGCTATTAGGTTTTGCCACAGATCATCTTATCTTTTTCTTATATTCAGAATAAGTCTATAAGTTTGAAAAATACCATGTCTTGATATTGCATAGATCTAAGTTACATTTTCTCTTGTGTGCTAAAATTAAATTCAGTTTTTCCAGCCTAAGTGGGATTAGTTTACCAACTACCTGATGGTAAGGTGTGGCAGAATCACTTGTTATGTAAGCAGATAACTTTAGCTTTAGGACATCACCTCCTATGATTTTAAAAGTACAGAAGAAAAGAAAGTGTGCCAGTGAGTGGAACAGTTGAAATAAGATGAGTTTTTTGGTTTTTTTTTTCTGGTTGCAAGGATTATCTACTTCCATCTAATAAACTGTTAGCCTGCAGATAGTAATTTTTTGTTTTGTTTTTAAAATAGCAAATGTAGTGGCTTGTCAGGTTTATTTTCCCCATATTTAGGGGGGTTTGGCTGTGACCAGTTAAAAGTATGTGACATAACTAAGCATACACTTCGCAACATCCAATTCGTCACCTCCTTTTTATATCAGTTTCTTTCCTTCAATGCATTGTTAGTGTCTCCTTACCTGTTTTAGTGTGAGGTAAACTAATGTGATGAATAATTGTTTTGAAATTTAAAAAAATATATATTTTTTTAATTTGAAAATGTAATAATGAACTTTTTTTGTTTGTTCTTTTTAAAAGGATTAAAGAATCCAACCTTTGTCTAAAATCTTTGCTATTTGGACTAATTCAGCATTGGCTGCTCTTGAGGCTCCTCAGATCTAAAAATCAAACTTAATGGAAACTCATGTGATTGGGAAGCTTCTGGAATACATTTATACACACTGGGAACAACCTCTGGATGCTGTTAGACAGCAAACCAAATTGATGTTCATGAATCTTCGTTGGGAACACTGAACCACCATTACTGGATCTGGTGAAAAATCGCATCCATTCTTTGTAAGGCTGATAAAGCATTTACTAAGTTTGGAATGACATGTCAAAGGAAAATACACTTCTCCTGGCTGTCTTGTGGAGAGTGTGGGCACTGAAAATATACTACAGTTGGACAAAACAATTCCAGTACAGATCCTAGCATGATGAATGATCAGTCTCTTGCTATCACTATCCTAGATAGTGATTCTTAGGATCACTGTCCTAGTGATCTTTTGGAAACCATGTTTATAAATCACAAAGCCCATTTTACTTTGAGTTTTCAGGAAAGCATTTGCACTGACCAGTGGCATGACATATGGGTTTCTCTTCTAGTAATATTGTGTGAAGGGAACCATGACCAAAGTACTTACATGATAGATTACTATTTACCAGAATTGCTCAAACCTAGCCCTGACAGTCTCAGCTACATGATCAGCATTCTTCAGGTTTCTGCAGATGCTAATCTAGGTAAGAAAATAAATACTGTATTTGTAATTATTATTTTTAAATCTCAGAAATATGATTTCTGATCTATAATTAATTTGGGACAAAAAATTCCACATAGTTATTATCACTGTTAGTATTTCAGAGTGGAATTCATAATAATCATAAGTGTGTCTTCATGCCATAAGCAAAATCATTAGTATTCTGTGGTTTTACTAGTAAGCTGTGGGTGCCTTACTGTTCTCTTTACGCACCAAGCTTTGTTACATACTAGTATTTTTCTTTTCTATTATTTTTTCTGTTCTGCTGGTATTTCTTGCATAGGTGTGCCCGGTGACAGGGCTTTTCAGATTGTTTTTTGTTGCAAATATGTGGATATAAGATTTATGATTCTCAGGTAGTTTTTGGCATAATTTAGTGTAACTCTAAGGGCTTGCGAGACCTCACAAGATCCCTTTTTGTATGACACGTTCAAGGCAATGCTTTCTGGGAATGATTTATAAGTAGTTTAATCTGTGACAGATGCTGTCTTTTTGGGTAGGGGTCATGTGTTGTAATATCAGGTTGTTTCTGACAAGCACTGCAATTAGTACATTGTTTGTGTTAAGAAACGATAATTATTACTGGTTTTCATTTTCCATAGGCTCTTGCAGTACTAGAGAGACTCTTGGAGCATTAATGGCATGCCTAAGGAACAGCCAGGGCTCACAGACACCTGGAACTTTCAAATATCACGAGGAATGGTTTCATATCCACTGAATGTATAAAGCAGGTATAGTTGTAGCTCATCAGCACAATCAGGTAAAGGGACAATGTTGGGGGGGGGTTGTGTCTTTTAATTAGAAGAATTGCATTGATCCTAAATACTGTGTCAACATTATTTTAAAACAAAGATATCATAGGTGCCTGTAACTCTTTTGGGGTGAATATCTAAACACTTTCCAGGTTTTCATTGATGCCATAGGTTTACTATGTGAAAACCATTGTAGCACAGAAATGGTGTCTGTGGAAGAAATGCAACTGTGTCAGTTTTTCATGATGTGCAACTTGGAAGAGCCAGTCTCCTTTGGTAAGACAATGGATAGTTTCTTTGCTGAGAAAGGTAATTTTGGACTATGGACAATCTCTAATGTGCCTATTGTGTTAGTTATATAGTATAGGACAAGGTAAAGGAATATTAAGGGGACAGCATGATGTGGCTGTGCTGTGCTATGATCTGCAGGGATTGAGTGTGTCAATACTGTGGAAGTTGCCAAGATAGCAATGTAGATCATAGTAGAAAACATGGAGAAAATGAGGAAATCATTTGTGTAAAAAGAACATTTTGGAAGATATTAATGGCAAAAGAAAGCAGTGTGGAAGGAGAAAACAATTAATTTGAGACAGGAAAAAATGAGGGAATAGGTTTGGTGGAAACAGAAGACAAGTCCATCTCTTTCCATTTGTGCCTGGTGCAGACTGAGGAATGAGATGGAAAAATTGTGTTAGAGGGAGTCTAATAAAGAAATACTACTAGTGGGTAGTAAAATAACTGGGGGAAGCAGTTCTGAGTTCAGTCAAACTGTGTAAGAGACACTGAAGCATGTAAAACTTACATGCATTAATTGAGCTTTTTTATAGAGGAATATAATGAGAATATATATTTCCACAGAATATAATTTTCCACAGAAAATGAGGAGGTGGGAGCAGAGGACTCAGCATGACTTCAGAGGAGGGAGATGGAAGAAGGTGGTGGAGGTGCAGAGGGAGCAGGAAAAGACTGGTCACAAGAGAGATGGGGAGCAAAAAATTTGGTTTTTGAACGGGGAGAGAAGGATCTGTTCTGTGTTACACTGTATGTGAACTTCTTAAAAGTTACAAGCAAAATGATCTGGAAAATAAGCTGAAAATTCCCCTTTGCTTATTTAACTGTTAGTGATTCTTGCCTTACCTGTGTTTTGGTTTTGTTTTAAAAGTTATTTTGTTGGATACAAGACAGCTCACAGGTGCTTTATAAATTGGAACAAAATAAAACCAAGCAAGAGTAACTTGAAAACTCAACTAAAAGGCGTGCTCTGGGGATTTTGCAGCAATATAAAATAAGTTAAACTGCTAGAGATACAGATACTAGAGGTGGGATAGCATTTCTGAAAGCTATTTCATTGTTCTTGAAAACATCTCTAGGGTAGGTTAGGCTGTGCCTGTGTTAGGGAATAGTTCAGTGCATTAGAAAGAAAACTATAAAGCAAAACAGGGCTGAGGACCTTATCTGCACTGTATGCACTTTGCAAGGTAATACTGTTTTCTCATAAACCGAGACAACTGAGCTAATACTCTGTAGTATTTGGAGGGTATCTTTAAGATTAATTTCATCCAGAAGTAAAAAAGGTTATTGCCCAAGTGATTGCTCCATGGTGTGAACTGAAACATCAGTAAGAGGGAAATGGCTGGAGATGTACCCCACTGCAAACTAAAATTTTCAGGTAAACGTCATCTGCTGGCAGTTTAATAGCAGATTTTAAATGATGTGTGATACTTAGGCTTGAACTAGACATCCATTGAGCTTCAGCCTTCTTCTAGCACTCCTCACTGATCAGTGAGGGAATGATAAGAGTTCAGCACAAAGACTTCCATTTGAAGACTTCTTTTGTATTTGTCCTTTTTTCCTATTTGAAGGCTTACATATCAGTTTCTTTGTGTTAAACTGTTTCTTGTCTTGGGTTCTGTTTTTCTTGTTGAAGAATTTTGTCAGTACTGTGAAGGTAGGCTTCCCATTCTTCCAAAATTAACTGTAAGGTCGTATTTTTGGGGGGTAACATGTAAAGCAGAATGTCCTGAATTCAGTTACTTAGAGTTCTGTTTATAGGGCAGCAAATAAACTGTCTACATTTTTTTCTTGTGATTTTCAGGATTTCATGTCATCTGTATGTGGCAGACTTTTTGAGGTACTGTTTCCTGGTTCATCACACCCAACCAGATTTTCTGCACTAAATATTTTGGGAACAACAGCAGAAATATTTTCTGTTCCAGAAGGTGGAAGACTAATTTCATGGCTGCAGGAATGGGAGATACAGAGGAAAAATCTTTATCCCAGATAGAAAATTTCTGTCAAACTGTATTTATAGTTCTTAATTTCTGTGGCCTTTCTTATGTTGCTTTCCTTTTATCTGAAGGAAGGATATTAATGGGGTTTTTTTGAAAAAGGAATAGTGAATTAAATGCAGGTATTTGTGGCCTGTTGAGTATATTCCATAAATTGGGATTTTCTTGTATAGCCTGTTTTTAGCAAGGCTTTTCAATGAATTTTTGTCATTATGAAGAAAACTTTTGGACAACTTTACCCCCTTTTCCTGTTCTGACACCTTGATAATATGTAATTTAGAACATTGAGACCATAAAAGCTCTTTATTGAAAAGGCTTGCATATCATAGCCTCGTTATATTATTATACTAAATAAGGAACTATTTAATTGGACAGTTTATTATGTGGTACTGCTGTTACTTTAAATATTCTTTACAATGGTGTGACAACCTCAGTTCAAGAAGCTTTAGTTAGTATTGATGGTCTTGCTAAATCTTCTCTTTGGGATCATGTGGCCAACATGAAAGTATGTTTTCAGCCTTAAATTGTAACTAAGCTGATTCTGAGAGGGAATTAAATATGCTTTCTTGGTAGATCTTTTCTCAAAACCCCTGGTAAATCATGAACATATTAATTTTATTCTGAGTTTGTGGTATGTTGCTGATTTATTTATTTATTTAATATTTGTATTGAGAGTTGTTTATAATAGCAGCTTTAGGATTTCAGAAGCTTTCTATAAAGGAGATTTAGCTGCTGTTGTGTTCCATGGAATGTGGTGCACGGTGCACTTGTTTACATCTTAAAGTTTCTGGCTTCTTTACAGCATTAGGTTAGTCACCAGAAGTCAGGACTCCTTTAAATCTAAATTAAAAGCAAAAGATAGTAATGGCTTCCATTTGAAGGGGTTATTTCTAGGACAAAAAGAACCCCAAAAAAACAAACCCCAAAAAAACAAACCCCAAAACACAGTGAAGTTTTAAACCTTTTTTGGGTGGATTGTCTGGTATTACATGCTTCCAGGAAAGGAGTTTTTAAGCACAGCTAAACTAGAGGTTATTTTTAGTGCTGAATTTAATGTGAATAAATGAGATGCTAGGTTTTGAGAACAGGTTACTTTCTGTACTACTGAATGACTTTTTTTGGATATGGGAACCTTTTTTCTCAACAGTAAACATGGCATTTAAAGACCTATTAAGAGAAGTAAGTAATATTAAAATAATGCTTTAGCCAGAATTTTATTTTAATGCTTCTTTTAGTATAACTAGGCAAAATGTGAGTGTAGTGATTATTCTGTAAAGAATTACAACAAAGCTATGTGAGACGTTGATTTCTTTGAAGAGGCCAGGCACAAGTTTTTCAGTTGAATCAGGAGATTTATTCTACTTGTGTCCAAACTTTGATCCAGTGTTTTGCCAGTACTTTTGAAGAAGTTAAAGTTCTGGCAAGTGGGTTGTTGATGAAACTACATGTTGCATTTAATTTAGAGGTATGTAATAAAAGATAGTTTAAATGGAATAATTTTGCAAAAAGTGAATGTTCTGCATTACCCCAGGTACTAGAGTTAGGTAGAAAGCATAGCCCATGAAAAAGAGAAGTCAAAGTTGTCTGCAATAGTGTTCATAGCTAGCATCTCCTGTATATTTTTTCAAAGCTTCTGCCCTCACATAAGGAGGCTTGTTTCTCTAATGGGTGAAGGTGTTTAGGGGTATGACTATGAACTATCAGAGAAGTTATTAATGCAATCTACTTGTTTAGCTGTGCCTTCCCTTTGTAAACAATTGAGGCATTTTGGTTTGGTTACCCATATTGTAGCAAATTGAGCTCTGTGTTTCTTTTCCTTTCAGATTTGTCTCAGATCTCATCATCTGTTTGTCTTTTTTGATTTCTCCCAAATTTTGCCCGGTACTGATTTTTCTGTTTATTACTTCATAAAAAGTTACTTTTAAATTCCTAAGTATTGTCAAACAAATACTGGTTCCTGATAAACTATGCTTCTCTGTGATGTCCGTTAGCAGATAAGCCAGAGTATTGTGAAAACAAAACAAAAAACCCCAACAAAACACAAAACCAGAAACCAAAACACTTCTCCTCTGAAGTGCAACATATTTGAATTCTGCTTTATAAATGACTGTCCCCATCCTCAGTGCATCCATAATTGCATCTTTGCTAAATACATACACACATTTTGAGTGTAAGGTGATCAGTGTACGAAGTAGGTGTTTCTTAAGAAATACATACCAGCAGACTTATTGAAAAGCAGGTTCTTGGATTCCAGGGTGCTAAGTAGCTTAATTAAATCAATATGGAAGTTCAGTAAAATAAGCAAGATTGTGCCTTGGGGGTTTTTTCAGGATTCATGATTTGAGACATGGTTGTAGTTGCCATAGATGAAGCAAATGCATGGGTAACCTCATGTCTCCTTGTTATATGCTCCTGTTATTTACCCATAATTTGTTGTTTTGGTTTGTAATTGATTCTGATTCTAACACTGAGATGCTGCATGGTATAAATAAAATAGACACATGTATCCTCGAACATTGGGCAGGTTCTTTACTGGCTAGTGCATGAGTCAAGTATTTAACCATCAACTTCTTTAATATTTTGCTGAACTGTCTTGTATTAACCTGGCTGTAAGGGTGAAGTCTGACTTGCAGTATGTGGTAGGTCACTTCATCATGAGCAGTGGGATTGTCCCTGCATACATGATCTGGGCTGTGTTTCTCACAGCTGCTGTTTAATTCAGATAGACAGACTAAATTGACTGTAACAGAAATTTCTGGAGGTTAGGTAACTGAATACAGTAAATATTATTTAAATGACAACAGAATGAAAAGTGTAAATAAGGAAATTGCTGTGCATTTCCCATGGAATTGTTATGTAAACGGGCTTTATTCCTGTCTCTCTAAAGCAGATTTGTTTCTTAGAAAATACAGTATATGTATGTATAATGTAAATGTGTACTTTTAACAATTTTAGTTATCAAGCTTTTGCTGGTGAATGCTGAAGAAGAAGTATTTCAAGATAAGAAAGAAGTCTCTGGTTCAAACAGCAGCATCATTCCTGATGTATGGGAAAGTACATTGTATAACTGGGGCTTTGCAGCATTTACCTTTTAAGTAGGTAAAACATACTGCTAAATAGTAAGTCAGAACTCTTTATTTAAGCACCATGGAACAGCTTTATGTTCAGGAGAACAGTATTATTTGAAATGAAATGCAGTACCTCTGGCTTTTAGGGCTCTTACTGGCTGCTGTACTGTTTAGCTAGCTGTTGGATACTTCCTTTGCATGTGTTAAACTCAGGACTTTTCAAACTGTACCGTTTGTAGTTCTCATGAATACTGTGGTGGAAGTATCTTTCAGTTCTTTCTTTAAATATAAAATGATTTTTAATCCATGTTGTGTTCTTTTTTGTTTGTGATTTTGTTGTGCGGTTGGTTGATTGGTTTGGGGTTTTTTTTAAAGTTAACTTTGATCTTGGTAGCTGAATGGAAGGAAATAGTGGCCAGGCTCATTATATTGTCATCAAACTCTCTGCTGTAGTAGCACCAGTAGTGCAGAGCTCATCACCAGAGGGGCTTATTCTAGTGGATAGTGATCAGGTAAACAAACCCCAAAAATAATTTCACTTAAAACCGAAACTCCTAAAGTTCTGTTTGTCTTACAGTGATTCAGAACTAGAGCTAGCACCCCTCCTTTTCAATTTCTCGTATTGTGTCATAATCTTAAACCACTTTCTGATATCTTGACTTATGCACTAAAAAAAACCCCACCATTTTCAGATTGTATCATTTTTTCTGTTTTGAAACAGATGCCTAAAAAAAAGTCTCGTTTTCTTTATTCCCTAATCCTCATAATCACCATAGTTTTGGGTTTTTTTTAGCTTTCTTTTGTCCTTTACATACCCAAAATGAATTACATTTGTATCGAGAGATGGAAATAAAAACCCAAAATACCTTTAATGTGTTTGAAAGAACATTGCAAAGTATAGTCTGAAAAGCTGGCTGACCATGTGCCAATGGAATATACTTGCACAGAAATGAGAGGTGAAGCTAATGCTGTATTAGTAATTAAATCAAGAAATTCTTTATAAAGCAGGCATTTTACGTGGGTGATCAAAATGTTACAGTTCTTCAATAAATGTGTCAGAGGCTGGTTATTCATGTGCGTGGTTTTAAAGTCTGGTTCATTATTTCTGAAGATTGTGGTTAATCTCTTAGAGCAGAAGTGAAAATGAGTTATTTTGATACTGGCCTAGACTTTATTGCTTTAACTGCACTGGCCAGGTAATCTTTAACACCTTTTCCGTCAAGCAATGCTTTTAATGCTTTTGTTGTTGAAAGGTGTTACTGTGATTCCCCTCTCTAGTACACACAAGACTAGTGGGGAATATGTTCATGCTGTAAAACTTGTTGCATGAAATTACATAAGCAGAAGCTTCTCTTTGAAAGATTCCAGTGGTAAAATGTTAGATAGTATTTGTCTAATGAATAGCAGCTATGAAATGGAGCCTTACAGTGATAAAGAAATTGTGAACTTCTAGTGTATGACAGAATTATTTTATAGAATATCTGTACATTTTAATGTTTAATAGTTCTTCCAAGCTTTTTAAGTTTTAAATGCATGAACTTTCTTTCCTCACTTTTTTTTTTTACTATGTTTAAAATAGTTTTGGTTGGGCCATATGTTTTGTTTCATGAAAAGTCTGTATATATGTTGAAGTGGCACAGTAGTCACCAGATGGTGATGTTGTGTTAGAAACATGATGCTTTCTCCAGGCCTCTTCCTATGGGAGCACCTAGGTTATAAACCAAAGTAACAGTGAGAGATGAATTGATGATTGATGTGGAGCTTGTGAGAGCCTGGCTCCAAAGTTGTAGGTGTGTATAGTTTTATATATATATATATATATACACACAATATATATGACTATATAGAGAGAGTGATGAATTGATAGCATTTGTGAGAGCCTGGCTCCAAAGTTGTGTTTGTATAGTTCAGTGTGCACATGAATACCAACTGTGACCAGAATATCCCAACTAAATGGAATGAAGTACAGCGAGCATTGAGGAGTGGAAGCAATTAGGGTCAGCAAAACTGAATTATCTTTTGGGTAAGCAAGTTTTGAAATGCTTTCAAAGATTAACTGTGTTTTGTAAGAAGATCAGGCTGAATGTGTTAAAATTACAAATCTGTGTCTGAGACCCTTGATTTACTCTACTACATTTGTTTCTTTCTGTTTTTAAGTCAAAGAAAGGCAAACGTCACAGCTGAAATGGTTCTTGTGTGTTGCTGGAGAAGCATGAAGGAAGCGTCTTCTGCTCTTAGGGACACTGTGTTTTGCCTTTACAGGCTACATCTGAACCTTCAGATGGGTTGATTATTGTGGGAAGCTAGAGAAGTAATTTTTATTGTAAAACCTTCACTTTTTTGGAGTGGTGGATGGGGGAAGGGCAGTTTTCTGAAACCTTTATTTTGTAAAATCTACATTCTGCACAAGACTTTAAAAAATTTACTGCCATGTTCTTCTCGTGGCTTTCTTGTTTTATTAAACTTGGTAAACAGTCTACTTTTTGATAAAGTGGTATTCAGAAAGCATATATATGGTAACAACAGGTAAGTGACGAAATTACAATATAGCAAACAAACTCAAGGAATATTCATTCTAATTGTATTGGGTTATTTATAAGCTGTATGCTGTGCTTAGGGATACAAATGCCTTCCTGCCTCCCTCATTGGTATATATCAGGCAGTAACAGAGTTGATAAAAATCTTCTAACCTGATTTCATATTCAGTGGGCCCTTTGTTTCATTTTGAACCCTAGATGTCGGAATGTTATTCCAAGCTCTTCACGGATTGAACTTTATAATCATTAATTCTGAAAGTTAAACATGCTGACTAGGTATAGTCTTGTCCTCTGTAGGAGACTGAATTATTCATACTTTGTATTCAACATGACTCTTCTTCCTCCAGTTTTTTATTTAGGTATATGCCATATGGCTAATATGCCATTCTCTTATAGAACGTTGAGTGTAGTGTTTACAAGAAATTAGATTACCACAGGCATTTATTTGGGGAACGTTTTGTGTTTATTTCTGGTTTTAACTGATGGCTTTTTTGTTTCCATCTGGTTTCAACAAAACCAGCCTCTACGTGGAAGACTGAACTATGCAAGATATACTACTTTCTAACCTCTTTTATTCCAGCAGAAAATACTTAGTTTTTCTTAGGTGTTAGAACTTACCATCTTAAAATAAATAATAGGATCATGTACTGCATATCTTACTTCTTATGTTATTTAATGTTGTAGTGCCATGGAAACAGTGTTAGTATATTTATTTTTACATTGTCTTGAGCCTTCATGTTTTCATCTGGTTAACAACTGTGCTTGTATTGTCACAGAGGTCTGGAGGGTAGATGAGAGAACAGATATGCATTTCCACCATTATCTTCCTTAATTTGCTCCAAGTCAAAAAGGAATTGGTATTTTGAGTCCGCTCTAACTGTAGCATCTCTGTTTAGAAAGCAGACATTAGTAACTGCCCTTTCAGAAACGCTGTGTCATTAAGCAACATATATTCTTTTCCTGTAGATGCCTGATTAGATTCTTTATGCTTCCGATGTCTTCCTGTAAAACAGAATATCTGAGTTCTAATTTGCAGAATGCTAACTGATGAAAAGTCAGTTGGAAATCCTGATTCTCCTGAGGCTTGCAATGAAATACAATTTGGCTGAATGTATAACAAATATTATAGGAAGACATGTAGGCATTTTCTCTGCAGTCTCCAACCCTAACTATTCTATGATTCTATAAAGTTTAATTATAGTGTTTAGCTTCTTGAGGCTTTTAACCGTAGCTCTCATTACTACATACATAAACCAGCTTTTCTATTTTAAAATCGTTTCTAGTAGTTACAGGCAATTACGCAGAATCCTGCAACCTTAAAGCCAGCTCAGGGAGGTTTGTTCCCCTTTGGCACAATTTTTGAAGTTTGAATCTCTTGCCTTTCTCAGGTATCTTTGTGGATGTTTGTTTCTTTGGGAATTCAGGCAAACAAGAAGGGTTCTAAGTTTGCTCCCTCTGGAAGTCAGAGTTCCTCCACAACTCCCCCACTCTGCCAGCTCCTACACGGATTCCAGCAGCCCAGCCCCAGCTCACCTTCTGTTTGCTGCTGCGCTGCTCCTTCCCTGGCTCACACCATCCCCTCCATGGCCACCCCGGGCAGAGCAGCCCTCCTTAAGAGGGAGGAGGGCTTATCGTCATCAACCCACTGCCTGCACCTGGTGCTCCTCCAGCCGCAGCCCACCAGGACCAGGGGGCCATCACCAGCCCCTCCTCACTCTGTGTAACCTCCCCCAGGCCTTGTCACAGCCCCTCACCTGGTGCAGACAGAGCGCAAACACTGCGCTGAAGGGCAAAGGAGACGATGAGTAGCGTTTATTTAGTCACGCACCTAACAAGGTGCAAGAGTGGGTGTGCTCCAGAACTGGGGGCCTGTGCCTGGGACACGGCAGCAGCCATTCCCTGAGCTGCCTTCATCGTGGCCAGCTCCTTGAGCGAGGAGGAGCTGCCAGGCAGAGGTGGAGGCTGCCAAAAATGAGGAGTGGGGAGCAAAGCCCGCAGGAGAAAAGAGACAGCCGGCTGGATGGGAGGTGAGGTGTAGCCAAAAGGCATGAGGCAGAGAAGGGCATGGTGAGAGAAAGATGGGGACAGGGAACTCAACAGAGGTGGAGAAAGAAGCAGCGGAGAGGCAGCAGAAGTAGGGACTAGAGGCAAGGCAGAGAAGCAAAAAATAAGGTCAGGAAGGACAATGAAGAGGCAGAGAAACACTGGGACGGGCACTGTGACAGAGCCAGAGTGTGAGAAATAAGAGGAAAGCAACAGGCTGTGGAGCACAGAGGGAAGAAGTACAAAAGCCAGACAGGGCCGGCTGGATAGAGACCTTCAGAGGTGACCACAGGGCAGAGAGGAAGGAAATTAAAATTTTAAACAACAGGGGCCCAAAGCAAAACTGAACAAGAAAACCAAAAACTAATGATGGGGCAGAGGGGGAAACTTAACCTGAGAGACAGGGAGCAGGGTAAAGAGAGGGAGAGATAGACATAGGCTCTAGGAGATACTACAGAGCCAAGGAACGCCTTGAACAAAAGGGACAGGGAGCCAGGCAGAGGCAAGGACGGCAGAAATACCAACAGGAGACAGAAACGGGTGGCTGGGAGGCAGAGACAGAAGGAAAAACCAGGGCAGGCTCCGGGGGAGCCCTGGCGAGCCGGGACAACGCGCGGTGCATGCACCCCGGGGCCGGCCCGGCTCCTGCCCCTCGTCCGTCCCGGCAGCTCTCACGGAGCTACCCGGGGCTCTCCTCCAGTTGACCGGGAGCTGGCGCATCCCCAGTGCCGGGTGCCAGCGGGCAGGAGACCCCCCTGCGCCCGCCCAAGGGGCTCGCTGACCTCTCCTCTCCGATGGGCTCGGCTCTCGCCTGCCGCCAGCAACCAGCCATGCGCGCCGCCATTTTGCTCCAGGGAACTGCGCATGCGCGGTATACGGACGGCGCGCCAGGAGGGACAAAAAACCGGCGCGCGAAAGCCCTGCAGGGTCGCGTTGCGGTTACCCGCGAACATGAACGGCGCATGCGCCGATACAGGGCTGCAGTACCCAATAGTGGCCACATGATGGCAGCACAATGAAGCGCAAAGCGCCCCTTACCTGCAGTACCTAGTATTGGCCACATGATGGCAGCAGAAAGAGGGGCACAGCCCCGCCGCACCTGCAGTACCACAAACTTGCCACATGATGGCAGCACAATGAAGAGCAGAGCGCCCCCTACCTGCAGTACCCAATATTGGCCACATGACAGCAGCAGTAAGAGCCGCAGAGTCCCCTACCTGCAGTACTCAATATTGGCCACATGATGGCAGCAGAAAGAGGGGCACAGCCCCGCCGCACCTGCAGTACCACAAACTTGCCACATGATGGCAGCACAATGAAGAGCAGAGCGCCCCCTACCTGCAGTACCCAATATTGGCCACATGACGGCAGCAGTAAGAGCCGCAGTCCCCTACCTGCAGTACCCAATATTGGCCACATGACGGCAGCAGTAAGAAGCGCAGAGTCCCCTGCCTGCAGTACCTAATATTGGCCACATGATGGCAGCAATAAGAGGCGCAGAGTCCCCTACCTGCAGTACCCAATATTGGCCACATGACGGCAGCAGAAGGAGGAAATGAGCGGCACCCACCTGCAGTACTAAACATTGCCCACAGGGTGGCAGCAGAAAGAGGCGCACAGCGCTCCCCACACCCGCAGTACCAAATACTGACCACGGGACGGCAGCAGCAGGAGGTGCAAAAAGCCCTCAACACCTGCAGTACCGCAAATAGGCCACGGGATGGCAGCACATTCTTACGCTACGCGGAAGAGGCAGTGGGGGAGCAGCAGACGCTCCCCAGCGCAGTTTACACTTCCCCAGTGAGTGCAACTGCTTTACCGGGAACAGGGCTGACGCTCCTCTGCCCTGTTCCCACACTCAGTCCTTGTTTCACCAGTCGTTGCCTCTATACCAAAGACAAGGCCCGTGGCTGTTCTGGCCCTGTCTTGGCTTAAAGCTCTCCAGACTGCCTGCATCCCATGCAGAGTCTGCAAGTTCCACAGCCTAGACACAGGGCTAGGCTAACAGCCCTCTTTCCCATTATTGTTCCCATTATTTCCCATTCCCTGAACTGTCCAGGAAGGCAAAGCCACTCTGCAGACAGCCAGCATGACCTGGGCAAGGATCCCAAACCCACACCAATTTCACACGTAACTCCTGGGATGAGCACATTCGGGTCACTTCCTCCTCACTCTGAGAATACCCTCCTCTCCCTTCCCACCCATGTTCCCCACAGACAACAAGGAGGCTTTTTTTAGAAGAAAATTATTTCTTTTTTTAAAACTGAACTTTTTTTCAGCCCTTTATCCTCAGGGTTTTCTGTTTTACAAAGATAAAAGCATTACCTGAACAACTTCTGCCTGTATAGGATTTGATATATTTGTGTGTGCACGTGCATGTATTTATACACTTAAAAACAGTCCTGCAAACTTGTGCCACTCATAGCAGCCCATCCTGCTTCACAGCAGGGAAGGCAGCTCCTCCCATAAACAGCAAACAAGAGGAATGCACTGAACCTCATCCATTGTGGCTCTGGAGGGAATCCCACCAGCTCCAGCTGGGAGGCTTTGACTTGAGTGCAAACACTGCTTTACAGTATTTCTAGATGCTGGCTGGATTAGACAGTGTGATACTAGGACAATGTCTCACACTCACCTGTGCCTGGCCTTTCTCCAAGGACACCAAACAGTCCTTTAGCAGGTGGCAAGCAATCCTCACGCTGCAGCTGAACTGTGACCTTCTAACTCAATTAGATACCTATGGGCAGAAATTGAGACAAGAGAGCAAGGCAAGAAGATGGCTTTCTGAGAGACGTGGCCAC